GGCATTGATCTTCTGTTTCTGTAGAGCGTCGTCCTTATTATCCAGCACGTTCTCGAGGTATAGGCCGGCGGCTTGAAAAGTACTGCGTAGAACGAGTGATAGAGGCTAATTAGAACCTTGTTGGATCTTACGCTATTTGTTTTAGTATCTTTGTTATTGCTTCATGGTTTGCTATTTTGACTGGCCTAATCATTTTCGTCTTTTAAGGACTACAAGCTGTACGTACCCACTTCAATAAGATAAGCATTACAAGTCGAATGAGCTCTTTCAGAAGCGTTCTCGTCGTAATGCTGGATGCATGGCCTTAGTTTTTGCTCCGCTCGATTGGTGCCAAGCTCCTCTTTATAGTGCTAGCATATCAAGTTGACAGTTACACGAAGAAAATAAAAAGTTGGTGATGACTCCTGTTTTATAAGTGCCAGTGCACCACTGATCAGTGCGTAAACTCAACTTACAGTTTAAATATTCACTTTTGTAGTTTTTCTCTCGTCTCCTCGGAATCCACAGGCACCTCCACGACGCCAAGAGGCAAGAAACTGTCTGAGGAGGAGATAGGACGGGTAAAAGTGCACTTTAAGGTTGGAAAAAGCAAGCGCTGGGTAGCACGAGAGATTGGCCGAAGTCCGAACGCTGTCTGCAACGTATTGAAAGCTCCTAATCGTGCAAAACTCCACAAACGACTCGGAAGGCGACCAAACTCGACCAAGCGCCTGATCCGACAAGTTGTGCGACTCGCTACCGTAAAAAACTATCGTCTACGTATTTCGGAGGCGATTGGCCAGGTTCTACGACCCATACCGTCCGTAAGATACTAAGCTCGTTTAAAATTGCCATGTGGATCAAGCGGAAACAGGCTCCGGCCGTCAAGCCTCACCACAAGGTGGCTCGCAAATAGTTCTCAAAAATTGGTGTGCTATTGATAAATAGAACAGCTTCTAAGTGGTGTCTCTATAAATAAGAACACCCCCTAAAATGGCAATTTCACTTTTGAATTTGCAATACGAACATTTTTAAAAGATGGTTGCCGTTAGCTGTTAGATATTAGGCAAGTGTTTCTTGGACCGAGCGGCACAATCTAACTCCTCGTATGGTGAGTACAGTTTAAAAAATCTAGTGTCCCTTTAATTAATAGCAGCACTGCGTGAACAAACTCAAAACCTGTGTTTTAAACGAAGTCGGTAGGCATCACAATACCATTGCTACGGTGTGGTATTGTTGTTGGTACTGTAGTCTCGGCATGGACCCAAATCGTAGCTGTCATGGTGATCGTACGGACCATAACGAAGTCAACACCGCACTTGAATGGGATGGATCTGTAGTCGCCATTTTTCTCGTCGCAGTGCTGTCATAACCTTACACAATGCTCATAACCTTACACAATGCACAAAACCGAATTTAAGTCTCCACCCCGACGAACAGGGTCGGTCTAGACTGAAAAACTGTATTCACCATATAGGTTGTACTGGGTCAATACTATGCTAGCATCGCACGCATTACCCGAAACCGGAGCTCAGCACCGTACTCCTGCTCGGATGGGAATGCAGTTCGCGCCGTACTTGATGAGCTGAATTCGGCACTAGCCGCAGCTGTAGCTGTGGTACGCTCGCGCTCTAGCCCCACCAGACGCAGCATAAGACCAAATCCCCGTCAGCCAAGCTGCTCCCGCCACTCGTGCCCCCCCCCCCCCAGCCAGTGTGCAAGTCCACACAGCCGTGCCACCACCTGCAGGGATGCCGAATATTGCATTTTTATCTATTGCTAATCAAAGCAGAAAATAAATAATTGAATTAGAGAGCTGACTAGACCAAAATAGATTATTGAACTTCCTCAGCTCAAAAAATAGATTATTGGTGCGGCAAAATTGGTACACAGCGAGGGCACCAGTATCAAAGAATGTATGGCCAATTAAACACCGCCCAATAGATTATTGGTACTACAACGGGAGCGAAAATAAATAATTGATCTTCCTCTCCAGAAAGTCTCCAATAGATAATTGGTGCTTTCTTATTGCAATAATTGCAGCACCAATTTATTTTTCGGCATCCCTGACCACGGACGGTATGCACCAATCCTGTCAAGGTTGGACCAAGTCCAGCAGCACCTGCCGCTGCTTCTGCCTCAGCAACGGTAGCCACAGCTGATCAAGCGTCTCCCTTTCTTGTTTGTCATGCACAAGCGTGCGCCAAGCTGAATCAGCAAGCCGTACCAGCAGCGTCGACCCGTGTTGCCACAACGCAGACTGAGGCTGCCCCACAACATACCAGACAGCTCACCGCGGCGATAGCTGGCACTGCGGAAGCCGCACTAAGCGAGCAATACTGCAGTGGAAGCTGTAACTATCTTGCCGAGCGTCCGTCCACTGTCATCAGGACGAAAGGACTTTAGCTGCTCCCCCTGGTGAAGTCAGCCCTTCTGCAATGTGCTGATTGCTTCGCAGCTAATGACGCTGGCACAACGCTGACGAGATAGTGACTCCGTGTACGCCTTCGGCGCGGGTGTCACAATAACTGAACGAGTCGATGGCGCCTCTCGACGCAACGCAGGACGATGCGGTCCAGCAGAGTGTGGTCGCCAAGAACTTACCAGGCACAGAGCTAAGGCAAACGGCTCGCAGCACCTTGGGCAGGTGCTCGTATCCGCCACCGCAGAAGTCCCCCCCCCACACACACACACTAAAACAAACTTCGTCACGTTGGGGCCAAATACGTAGCGTGAAAACCTTGCCACAAGCCTTGACAAGCGATCCGGCTATCACTTCGGAAGGGGCCAAAGACATTGCGTGAAACCTTGCAACAAGCCTTGACAAGCGATCCGGCTTCCACGATGGAAGGGTGAAGACCCCTGACCCCTGCTGAATCGGTCTTTGGTGCCACGCGGTGGATGCACCATCCTCGACATCGACGGCGACAGTAGCCTGGTGATATCCCAAGTCAACGGCACCTTCACGTGCAGGAACGCGAGGACCCAACATCCCTTCAGCCATGTGCGTCAGGCGATCCGGTGGCCCCATCCCAGTTATTGAGCATAGCGCGACACTTAGGCGTACGCGTCACTTGAGAAAACAGATTAAATAGCATACATGGCAATGCAAGGGATGTGACTACGCAGTAACTACGGCCTAAAAGCGTGTAATAGATCTCAATACTATAAGTAATAAGTCGCTGGAAAAACATGCAAAATCAAATACATTGATATAGGCCAACTATATTCAACATTTATAATGTTTATATATAGTATATAGGACTGAAATATTTTATTTCGTTTATGTATATTTTTTTGGCAGCGTCTTAGAAACGGATCCGTGGAGGGTTACTAATTCCTTTTCCTTTATCTAAATATAGTCAGAACTCTGGATCACAACCTCATTAGCCAAGACGAGGTCGCTCTCAACCTCATCGCTTCCATCATCGTCTTCAAGCGAGATCATGGACGACAGTGATGACGAAGCCATTGACGAGACCCAAGCTTATGTTAAGTCATCATCATCAATAAAGAGCTGGGCTAATAGTCATAGCGACTTTGATGAAGAGTACGCACGGAAGTTTCATCCCCGTCCTCAAACCATAGTTCCCACGAAAAATGACTCAGATTCAGATTCAAATTATCCATCGGCGCTGCCACACCAAGCAACTGATCCTCCATGGAATGCTACAACAAGTTTGGTACCTCGTCTTCTGATCTCTGATATAAGTGGTGAGGACAATTATCTACGATCGAGATCAAATTTACGAGCTAAATGGGATGATGTAGTACAGATGGGAAATTGTCGATCGAATCAGGCGCACCGCGAATTAGACCTGTCGGAAGTCTGTCGGTTCAAATACC